AACTTTTCTGAAACTTTCCGATGTTTCTAATTTTCTTACCTGGCCCAAATTAAACATATACTGCTCTTAATTTTGCCTAAAAATTCATTGCTGTCAAAAATTCCATTTTATACCGTTTTGTACTAAAAATTCCGGTTTATTCATATCTATATACGTAGATGAATTTTTCCGTATCCCTGCTCCCAAGGCCAAATGATCTGCAAATTTGACCAGAATTAGATTGTTTTGACAAAGATTAGCATAAATGATGTAATTCATGCATAATACGATAATATGTACAGTACATATAAATAGTATAATTATTTTCTTCATAATTATTTTCTACTTTACTCTCTCATAATTGTTTTCTTATTATTTCAAAAAGAATAATTCTTTGTTTTTTAAAAAAAATTTAAACACTTTTATTTAAATAACCTATTAATACTTTATTAATATAAATAAAGTTCGAAATTTTAAAAAGGCTAAACAAACAATGATCAAGCAACGAAAGCAAGAGTTCTTATTAAAAACAGAACTTTAACTTCTTTAAGTATTTCAAGTAGTCGACTTACATGTGAAAGAATAAGAGAGTTGCACTATTATCATTATGGTAGATTTTTTTTAATAAGGGCAATGTAAGACTTAAAAACGGAATGACAATCAGGGACATCATATATCCTATACAAAAATGCCAATACATCGTAAATGGTTTTATTTTTTATTTTTTAAGTTACTGTAGTTGTAAGAAACACCAACAATTAATATTAACAACTCTGTTATATATATATATAGAAAAAAAATATCGTCAAACCTTAGATAATCTGGTGCCATCATCTAACATTAGTGAAAGAGTACAGCGCCGCATAAATGAAGTAAACGCGATAACAAATATTAACGAAGCCAGGTGTGTGTATCATTCAATTGTGGTCCAAAGACAATGTCCCTTTTTCTTTAGATTTCGAAGAGTCTATGCTAAACTTCATTAGAAGTGTATCCGAAAAAATGTGAGTATACTGTACTTTTTTTTTGAATAAATTATGATAATATTTTATACGAATTTTATTATTTTTTTTCTTGTTTTAGATGGTGCTTTTTAATTACGAAAGATTTTTAAAAGCTCTCGTTTCTTTGGGTTGGAACTATAGTTAGACGAAACTTCGAGGTTTCACTAGTTTCATCTTTCGTCAATTAAAATCTTAAATGACGAAACTGTAAAGGGTGGTAAAACTAATAAAAGGCGTATATATTCACCATGGTAATAAAATTTCGGATATTATATATATTGGCGGGACCCGAATGATTACACAAAATGGGACATAATTGCATTTGGCAAAATTCATAGAAATGAGTATTCTATAATGTATTATACTAGTACACTATGTATCAGTTCTAGTGAGAAGTCGCTTGATGCTTACTTTGGGATCTTACAAATTTATTTTGTGCTAGTATGTTTTTAATTCGTTATTTGTATTATTTCATGAGTACTATGACTTTTTGACAAGGTTATTTCAACCGGTCTAGAACAACCCCAGTGTTGTCTAGAAAAAATGAACTGGTTTATTTTTGCTGGCATGTATGTAACTTCGAATACTAATTTCTGAATAAATTATGAAATTATGAATGTTAATTCAATGAATATAGCAATTGTTTTTTTTTTATAGAGGGACACTAGGGTCTCATATTTTTAAGTTTAAGTTTAATGTTTCGTCTTTCGTCTTTCGTCAGAAGAATTTTGGGTTTCAACTTTCGTCAGAGGTTTCGTCTTTCGTCATTATGCGAAAAATGTTTCGTCTAACAACTATAGTTATAGGATTTAAATCACTCGGAAAGTCATATTAGTAGTTCGTTAATATTCGAATTGTTTTTAAATTTGTTCTATAATAATAATTATTCAGTGAAAGTACAAAAGTAAGTTTGTATTGTTTAAAGATTGAAATAAAATCGAAGAAAAATTTATTTTTGTTTTTATTTATTAAATATTTTAACTCATATTAATACGTCCGCCAAATGTGCGTCATAATTTTTAGGGTAATATAAAAAGTCGCCGTAATGATTAGCAAATATTACGGATTTTCTGATGCTTCATCTTTTGATGAGAATGGAATTAATCAAGCAAATACTAATGGATCAACTGATCAAATTGAGGTTACTATCCAGAAATTATTTAATCGAAAAAAAAATTTGAAATACTGAAAAGTAAATAGAAGAGTAAAGAACCAATTCAAACATCCAGAAAATGAAAGAAGTCGGATTTAAGAGATATTTAATAACAAATGAGATTTGCAAAAAAAAAAAACTTTAGGTATTAACATAAGTAAGTGTTTAAAAGAATCATTACATAATCATTTATCACTAGAAAGCTTGATTTGTCAAGCTAATAAATTTAAATGAATACTGTACTTGCTAATAATATCTCTTGGATGTTTAAAAAGAGTTATTTTTAAAATTAGTAACTAGGGTCTTATTAAACACTTTTTATTTCATTCTATCTCAACATTAAAATAATAAAGTCTTATTCGAAAAAGTTCTAAATTTAATAAGTTTATGTCACATATGCTAGTAATTTAAAAAACATAGAAAGTTTTTGCAAATTTCACAATATATTTGGAAGCAAATATCGTATCGTAATTTCTATTAAGAATTGCTGTAAAAAAATCTGTTACAAGATCTTCATAATATGTGGTGAGTTAGTTTGTATAAATATAACGACTATTTTATCAAAAATTTCATTCTAACATTGTCGATTATTGAAATATTAACTATATCAATTCATTTTATAAAATTTTTACAAAACTCTCGTGCCGAAGGAACAGGAAATATGCGAACTAATATAAATAAGTTATTTAAACTCATGATTATTTACTATTAGTTTGGTACACGCCCATAAAAACGTTTATAATCAAGGTGTTTAAAATGAGCTATTCAAGTGATACAAAATCGACCATCAGCAACCATCTATACAGATGCGTCATTAACAGGATAGGAGCTATGAGAAACCACGAAGTGGTTTTATTTACTATTTATTCCTTTTTACATTGCATGTATAAATATGACATTTTTCTGTACGATCATCTAAAATAAGCTACTCGATTTCATATGTATTAATTCAGTACACTACTATTATTAAATGATACAAAGGCAAATACTATTATATCAATCTTTTTAATAACCTATAAAAATAAAATTGAATAATATAATTTTTTATTACCGCCAATTTTTTCGAATATTTTAATGTGAGCCAAAAATTTTAAGTATATTCATTATTCTCATGCGAATAAAATTACAACTTGCACATCACGCTAATCCGATATAATAATACAAACTACTCTACTTTTTGTTCACTATGTACGTATAAACAACCCCCTCAGTAATGTCCTCTATCCTTGTTTTTGTAACAAAATTCTTTTACAAAATAAGTTATCAGTGTTTTGGATATCGACAAAAAAATAACGTGCTTTTGCTTTCATCCTGCCGATACTTATTTATCTGTCACGTGATACTGGATAACAAATCCGCATTTTTTTGTTATCCTTGAAATAATGAAAGTAGTTATAGCTAGAAATATTCATAACACCATTAAAAAATGATCGATTAAAACGTTCTAATATTTATAATAAAAATGTAAATTATTTATTTATTTTTAATACCGTATTAATTATATTAATAACAAAATTTTGTTTCAATAACATTGATGATTGTTTCTAAGGCTTTAAATATGACATTTGCTTCTGGTCGAATAATTGGATTTTCATCCCAACAGCGCGAATAAAGCTCTATGTATTCCAATAGCATAGTTTTTATAGGTTTTTCTCTCTTGCCCTTCAGTATATGAAGAATTATTCCTTCTGGATTTGGTATATCTTTAAATGGAATAAGGCCACTTGAAATTTCCCAAAGAATGACACCAAAACTGTAAATATCAGATTTTTTAGTAAGTGTAAAATCCTTTAGAACCTGAGGGTCAATGAATGCTGGGATTCCATGGGTATCACATTTATTTGAGTTAAAATTTGTAAATCTAGAAAGATCAAAATCAGCAATTTTCATTTTTTCTTCGTGCACCAAAATATTTTTGGTGTGCTATTATTTATAGAAGTTTTAATTAAACTTACTCACAATGATTTAAAGATTTGTATCAATAATATATGCTTACCAGATCACTATGAATAATATTATTATCATGTAAGAATACAAGACCTGATGCTATTTGTTTAGCAATAAGTAATTTATCAATTTGTTGTAGCTTTAAAAAATTCCTCTTCAAATATTGTCGTAAATTCCCATCTCTAGCGAATTGCATAACTGTAAAGTAATATCTCTTAGATGGATCTAATTATGATATTATGTTTAGTTTTAAATTATTGCAAAACACATTTATAAAACAATTATATAAAGAATTCTTCAATAACTTACCATTTGTTACAGCATAAAATTTAATAATATGTGGATGCGTAACTTCTTTTAAAAACTGCTCATTATATAAATAAAAATTATTCAATTATAATTAAAAATAATAAATGTACGCATTTAAAAATAACTTTGATAATACTTGAATAATTTCAGAATTTTTAGTGTCTTTTAAGATTTTAATGGCGATGATTTTATGATTCCATTTAGCTTTATAAACTCCTTCGCTGATCTCCTCAAGATCAGTGAATTCACTATAATTATTAAGCATTGATCTTTCAAGATATGCCAGTGACGATTTTGCTGAATAGTTTTTGTTTTGGTTATTAATTATTTGTTTGAAAAGCATCAAATGTAATCAATTTAATTTGACGTGGTGACGTTAAGAATTTTTATTTTTATTTTGTAAAAATCTTAAAATTAAGTTCTGTCTGGCTTAAAGAATCAACACCTGTACGACAAAAAATATTAATGGAGAACTAAAATAATAATAAGATCTACAAATTAAAATGCGTGACGTACACGATAAAATTGAATTCCATTTATTTACGATTATTTATGTCGCACATTACAGCATTATCAAATTAGGAAAAATTCGGATGATCGAAATTCAGATTTAATATATTTAACCGTACTATATAAAATCTAATACTCGGACATCCGAATTTTTGATAATCCAGTATATTTTATAAATCATGGACATCCGAATTTTTGGTACGTAATCAGGATTTTTACAAATTTATATAAAACTTCGGATGATCGAAATTGGGATTTCACGGACATATGAATTTTTTTTATTCTCAATGCACAGTAGATATTATATAACTGTTGAATATCAAATATCACGGCCTGCGTTATATAAGTCGCGCACTGTTATTTGTTTTTTCCGGAAGCATATCCCGTTTCAGTTTTAATAAGTATACTGTAATTTGCAACTAATCATTATTAACAAATATAATTCGACTTGGGTATATCCAGTGTTGGCAATTTTACCGACCAAACATATTTTGACCGGCCAAAAAACGGCCAATTCGGCCAAATTCAATGTTTTTTAGCCGAAAAGGCCAACCAAATTTGGGTTGGCTGGTAAAATTGCCAACTCTGACCGGATCATTCCAATACTGTACTGTATACAGTTTGCCCTCCATATAGTCACTCTCTATATAGTCACACCCTCTTTATAAACACACTAATTTTTAGAACAAACGTATATAAAACATAACTTTGACCTCTATACAGGCATGGAACCGAGGGCGTGACTTTATGCGTGCAATGCTTTTAGATACTGTAAACCAAATAGGAGGTTGTCACAATTAATGACAAATACGAAAAACCTCTATTTTGGCAGAGTTTGAGAATGCGCTTAGATAGGTTATGTATTTAATAAGTAGCCGCGCGACATTGTCGCGCCAAACCAGGAACGGATGTGTATAATTTATATGTATAAATTTGTCACCTGTAACTAGAATAATTATGTAGATGTGTGCAATGTTGGTGTAATAGAGTTAAAAATAAGATTTGAATGGTGTTAATGAATTGAATTTTTACATTTATAGGAACTTGGATAGAATAAAATGAGAAGTACTGTATTACTTATTTTTGAATGTTTATTGGAATTAATATAAGGGTAGCGATAAATAGATGTAATGTCAAAATTAGTAATGTTAGGTGTTATTTATATATGGAATAACGGGGGTGTTCAGAATTAAAGGGAAAAGTTAAAGATGCATTAAAAAAAGAAGAATACATATCGCTTAATATTGAGGTCGAATGGGTCTTGCTCATGTGTTAGATTACGATCGTAAGCGGGGATAAACGAGTTGATCGGAGGTTATCGATGATGCAAAAGTAGTATTGAGTGTGATGCATGAAAAGTGAGTATTAATCTAAAAGTTAGATAAATATAAATATAAGCAGATTTGTAATGAATAATGATGTAATTAATTTATAGTTAAATGTAATAGATATAAGGTAAGAAAAGTAAAAAGGTATTCCTTTTGCTTTGGGCTTTAATAATATGCTAGTAAGATCGATAAAATTCATACCATTGTATTGATGCTTTATTAGTTTAATGTAATCGGATTTATGATAAAAGCGTTAGTTTGCAATTTTGATATTGTCTACATAGTTTAACGCAAGTTACAGTAAAAAAAAAAAAAAAACAACTATTCTATTAACGAAACAAATGTTATAAAACATTGAGCGAAGTTTTCTCGACAACCACCTGACCAAATTCAATGAACCTTTTATTATTTCAATTCTATAAATGTGTAGAATTGAAACAAAAAAAATTTCATCAAATTTTTACTATGTGGTTACCAAGAAAACTTCATCTAAAGTCAGAAAATTTGCCCTGCCTACTAACGAAATTTCAAAAAAATTGGTTACGTGTATGTAGTGATGTGCCATTTATATGATACCTGAAAAATTTTAGCGTACAGTACGTACAGTATTAGCTGCCCGATACGAAAGTATCGGAGCAGCTTTTTGTCTCGAATCGATCACGGGTGTATGTTTAGCCGGGTAC